GGGCCGCGGGGCGCGGTGCAGCCAGGGGTGGGGCCGGGGGTGGGGCTCGTGGGGTGCGTTGGCGCGTTAAAGCGCCGGCGCCCGCCGAAATCACTGACGCGGGCGCATGACGAGCCCCTGACAGCCGGGTAGCCCCATGTCTCAGAAACCCCTCGCAGCCCCCGGCCAGCCCCGGGCCCGCTGCTCAGTGCTCCCTCCTTGGGGGACTGTAAGGCTCACACGTCGGCGATGTATGTGACGTAGCACCCACAAAACCACCTCAACCAGTAAACCATGAATCCTAAACCCTGATTTCATCAGCCCCCGACCCACGTGGCGGCGGTATATGTTGCGCAGCAGGTCCGAGAAAGCGGCCTCTTCCGCGCCGTTCTTGATGCCGGGGAAGGCCCTCAGCTCCCTGAATGACTCCACGTACCAGTCACGCACCTGACGGGTTGGATGGAATATTGAACGTCAAACATTTGCTTTGGGACAGGGTGCTGTCACAAATGTGTGCTTTCCAAGGTGTGAAGCAGGGGATTGGGATTATGTGAGCTGGGGAATCACGCGCGCGTGAATGCTCACACACACGCGTACGTGCACGCACGCACACGTGCACACGCGCGCACGCGCACACACACGCACACACACACACACACGCACGCACGCACGCACACACACATGCACACACATGCGCGCACACACACACACACAAACACACACGCATGCATGCATGCATGCATGCACGCACGCACGCACGCGCACACGCACACGCACGCATGCGCAGCGCGCGCACACACACACACACACACACACACACACACACACACACACACACACACACACACACACACACGCATACACACACACACAACACACGCACACACACACATGCGTACGCAAAGCACACTCGTGCGTGCCCGCAGGGGCCCCTCCATCATGCAAACACGCCCCCCCCAAAACACACACACACCTTCAAGACCTGGGCCTTGCTGCTGAGGCCGTAGGGCAGATTCTCCAGCTCAGCCACCCTGGGGGGGACCACGGCACAGCCAACAAGAGTGAGGAAAACCGGATTACGGGAGAGGGGCAGGCCGCATGGGGTAGTGAGGGTGCCTGCATGGCAGCATTTGGTGGCCCCAGGAGCTTGACCGTGGGCAAGGAAGAGTTGGGGGAGACAAAGGCGGCGGGGGAGTCGCGCACGCGCAATGCCACGTGCTTGCGTCCGCCCTCGCAGGCGCAGCGAGGGCCGCGTCTGTGAGTGGCGCAGTGAGCATGGGAGCGCGCCCCCGCTCTGCCCCGCGCGGCCCCTCGCCCGGGCAGAGCGCTGGCAATCTCAACGGACCAGGCTGGTGCCCCGCCGGCGGCTCGCGCCCGCAGCAACCCAACGCACCGCCCTTGCAGGGCGCACGGCCCAGCAGTATCTTCCAGCTGCTTGTTTGACTAAGAGGTCAACAGACACCTTAGTCGCTTTTTTGCCTGACAAGGGTACTCGCTGACTCATCATATTACCTGTGTGCAAGCCGCACTGGCAGCTCCTTCAGCAGAAACTGAGCAGACAGCACCAGCTGGCGGTCAATGGGGCTGGAGCCAAAGTCGAGCTGGAGGCCGGATTTTGCAGATGGCAGGCGCATGTGGGCGGGGTTATGCAAGGGGCGGGGCGGCGGGGTGGGCGCTGGAG